AGGCCCCAAATGGTTAAGGGACTCACTGAGTGAAACAGCTGGAATGAATAAGCTGGGGTCTTAACGAGTGCAAAACCTTTTGAATTCTGCTGACAGAGCACAAAATGCTAAGACCACATATAAAACATCGATTGGTTGCCTTCTAAACAGAAACATCTTTTTAGGTTATGTGAAGGCACCAACCCCTGCAGGGGGTCTTTAGGGACTCCTTCCCCACCCATGACATACTCCAGGTATTCCCATCCTGAAAATGGCAGAACCAACCCATCATCGAGACTGGGTCTCCTTGCCTCGCCAGCCAAGCCTTCACTGTACCTCTCCCCTTCGCTCTCCAGGCTCCCAGCATCTCTCACTCAACTGCAGCCACAGCTTGTGACAATGCCAACCTGAAACTCTCATCCAGTGGCACCTGGCCCTCCTCCTACCTCTGCTCACCCAGAGGGGTCTCTGTCACAGGCGGCACCCCTCCCCGCTCACTCACGGCCTGGCTCTGCTCCTTCCCCTCTAGTCACTGCACATTCTCAGCAGGTGACGTCCCCCAAATCCCTTTCTCCAACCAGAGAGATCTTTCCAGCTGTCTGCTGGAAGGTGGCTCTACTCTGAGCATTCCAGAAGCACCTTACCTTACATAAAATGTAATCCCATTATCTCCCCAGCCCAGCTGGCCCCCAACTCTCCATCTTGGTTACTGATATATCATCATCCCTTGAGCTAGCCAAGCCTGAAACCTAAAGCACTTGTTGAAAATGCTGAAATCCCTTCTTGAACAATCCTAAAGCCATTGTGGGGAGAGGCAGGTCTGGGCAAGGTTGGCACCTGCTCTAGGATGAGGGTAACTGCGGCGGCCCAGAATGAGCTGTCAAGTCCAATCAGGGGCTCAGAGCCTGTATGGGGGAAGGAAAGAAGGTATGTCCGTGGAGTGGTGACCCATATGGGGTAGCGGAGCCCAGGCAATGAGGAGGACGGACACCTGTGGGGGAAGCAGCTGGGTATAAAATAAAGGAGTATGATGACAGGGATAAGAAGTTGGTTCACAGAGGAGGATTCATCAAATTAGTAAATATATTAAGGATTAAGGATACCAAGGTTCTCACTGTCAGAGGAAGAGTTATAAATACGGAAAATTCCTATTGGTTTGGAATAGGAGGCACTAATGTAATGCATGTTTTTTATTTGTATAGATAATACTGAAATATAGATATGAATGTGTGTCCACACAGAAACACATACATATATTATGCACATGTGTGCATGTGTGCATTCCCTTGCTCCATCCAATGAGAGAGGCAATGGGAGAAACAACACAGTACACAGCTCCAATAAGAACACCTAGAACCCAGATCTCGGTTTTCAAATTCTATTTGCCACTAAAAGGAACTGGGCTCCTTGGAGAAATGGCTGATCCCAGGAATGGAGCAGGGAAAGACAAGATGAGATAGAAAGTACAGATGTAACTCTAAGGACGATGGAAGCAAGACAAAAGGCCATATAAGCCAGTGGGAATGGGTTCCCACTAGCTAAATGGGAAACAAGTGGAGTATCAAGATAAATGATGGTAATATTGGACTATAATTCACTGATTATAATATAAAATAGGAATAAAAATATATAAAATATAAAAAAGGAAACCATGAGTTCAAATTGAATAAACTGAAAGTCTGATGAGGAAAGAAATATTAACGCAGCCAAAGCACCTTTTCCCTCAAAATACTTATTAACTACAAAAGGGAAGGGGGCGGATTTCACAGCTGAAGTTCAGGTACCACACCAACTTAACCAAGTGATAAAAGACTTACATAACCAACAATGGGATAAATCAAAGTCACGTGCCACCTGACAGGACACCACGGAGGAAGGCGGATCTCTTCCATGACACTCTTGCCAAAGAGGCATAAACTAAATTTAATCCCGAGGAAACATCAGGGTTGTTCTGCTAAACAGAGCACTGGTGATCTTCTGAATGTCAAGGTCATGAAGATTAAGGAAAGACTAAGGCCTGCTGCAGCCTGAATGAGACTAAATTAAGGGCAATGGGTGATACAGAGAAGGGTCCTTGTGCCATAAAGGACCTTATGGGGACACCTGGCAAACTTGAATGCAGCCTGAGGCTAACCCAGTAGCAGGGCATCCATGTTAATCCCCTATCTGTTAAGACCGAGTTGTCATGAAAGAGAAACTCTTGTTTGTAGGAATCACACACTAAAGGATTCCAAGGTGACGGAGCATCATTTCAGCAGCTTACTTTCAAATGAATCAGGAAAAACACTGCTTAGTGCTCTACTTGCAACTTTTGAAAATGTTTTTTCAAAATAAAAATTAAAATACAGGCTGCTAGACACCATTACAAATTTGCTGAATCAAATCTCTAAGAGTTTTTTTTCCTTATCCCATATTGTTAAAATCACCAACATAAGGACCCACTTTTTAATAAAAGCCAAGCGAAATTTTTTCAACTTAAAAAAGGCAATGTGGGGACTTCCCTGGTGGCACAGTGGATAAGAATCCGCCTGCCAACGCAGGGGACACGGGTTTGATCCCTGGTCCGGGAAGATCCCACATGCCGCGGAGCAACTAAGCCTGTATGCCACAACCACTGAGCCCGCGGGCCACAACTACTGAAGCCTGCGCACCTGGAGTCCATGCTCCGCAACAAGAGAAGCCACTGCAAGGAGAAGCCCGCGCACCACAACGAAGAGTGGCCCCCACTCACCACAATTTGAAAAAGCCCGAGCAGCAACAAAGACGCAATGCAGCCATAAATAAACAAACAAACAAACAAATAAATAAAATTAACTCTAAAAAAAAGGCAATGTACCCTTTTGAATTCAAAATCCATCGAAATTATTACAAAGTAGATTGCATACCTGAATTGCAAAATTTTTTTAAGAACACAATATTAAAAAATCTATTCATTTGCTGGATTTCACACCAAGAAGGAAGTAAGGAATTCTTTGCGTTTTCATTAACATTGTCCCATAAATACTGATCAAAGAGACTGGGTGAGATGTGAGGGAGTGTTCTTTGATTTCTGTTTGGGGACAGGAGGGTAGGATGCAAAGGACCCCTAGAGAATCTAACAGAAACCAAGGGCCCTCAGCCTGGAAGGTGCAATGCTATACTCAGACACCACCACCCACACAATCCCAGCAGGCTCACGCATCCCTAGGAGTACACACCAGGATCCAGGTTGAGAAGCCCTGTGTTAAAAAAACCTAACAGAAGAGTAGTTAAAAAAACCTAACAGAAGAGGGAGGAAATAGAAAACAATTGATTAAATTCAGCTTTGACAAGGGATAAATGAAGTGGAAACAGTCAGTGGTGGCTAATAAGAAGTCAATTTCAATCGGCACAGTCACCAGGGGATGGCAGAGAGCCAAGAAAGCATCTAAGGAAACTGGCCACAGAAAACAGTTACTGACACAGGGCTTGGGGAACAAGGGGCCTATGCTTCAGGCAGGAGGCTGTGAACAAAGGCTGTCATCCTAAGACACCTCAAAAGAGTAGCGAGACAGGTAAGTGGGAAAAATAACTTTTTTTTCCAATTCAGATTATAATAAGTTTGTAATTTTTACTATTTAAAGTAGATAAAGGGAATTTCTGCTTTTGCTTAGAATAGAAAAAGCTGGGGTGGTGGGTTGCCCTGATCCCACCAACAAGAGAAAGCTGAATAATCAGTGACGGAAACAAAGGAAAATTCATACTGTGATGGCTTCATTGGTAAATTACACTAAAATTTAGAGAAGAAATGATACCCAAATCAATACAAACTCTTCCATAAAAAAGAAAAGATGGGAATACTTCTCAACTCATTTAATGAGACCAAGCATTATTTTGGTACCAAAACCAAACAAATATGTTAGAAGATGAGAAAACTATAGACCAATATCCTTCATAAACAGAGATGCAAAATTCCTTAACAGAATATTAGCAGTCAAATCCAGGAACATATGAAAAAGATAATACAAGTGAGGTTTATGCCAGAAATTCAAGGTTGGCTCAACAACCAAAAATTCAATCCATATAATTCACCACATCAACAGACTAAAGGAGAAAAGCCAGGTGATTATCTCAACATGAGAAAGCATTTTATAAGATGCAACATTGATTCTTGACAGAAACTCTCAGCAAACTAAAAATAGAAGTGAACTTCTTACCTTAGAAAAGGCATCAGAAAAAAACTTTGGCTAATGCCCTATTTAGTGGTGGGAGCCTAATACATTCTCCCTAAGACCAGAAACAAGTGAAGGTTGTGCACACTCACCATTTCTAGTCAGCACTGTGCTAAGATGCTCCGAGGAGGATGACGACAAAGAACAGCCTCGCTTCCTCCTGGAAAGAGCTAGGTGGGACTCCTCACTGTGCAACCGAGGCACCTGCATGCAGGCATCAGTCATTCAGGTTTAAGTATATATAACTTGTATTGGGCTTCCCTGGTGGCACAGTGGTTGAGAATCTGCCTGCCAATGCAGGGGACACGGGTTCGAGCCCTGGTCTGCGAAGATCCCACATGCCACGGAGCACCTAGGCCCGTGAGCCACAACTACTGAGCCTGCGCGTCTGGAGCTTGTGCTCTGCAACAAGAGAGGCCGCGACAGTGAGCGGCCCGCGCACCACGATGAAGAGTGGCCCCCGCTCGCCGCAACTAGAGAAAGCCCACGCACAGAAACGAAGACCCAACACAGCAATAAATAAATAAATAAATAAATAAAACTTGTACTACATGCCAGACGCAGGACAAATTTAAAGGAGAAAATAATATAATCCAATAGTCATTATCTTATCAATTTTTCTTGAGACACTTTCTCCACTGCAAACCATAAGTGAATATATCCAAAATAGCCTAAAGGTTATATAACTGCAAAATGAAATAAAATCTTCCGATTTACACAAACCAATCACAGGCCTGCACTGGACCAGGACAGTGGAGGCAAGCCCTGCCAAGCCCAGAACGCCACGCAGTGACCCCTGCAACAGGCTGTAAGAGAGGGACCCATGCTTACCAATCCAGCATTCCAAACGTGCACAAGGAGTAGTCTTCACCACATCTGGAGGGTCCACGCCAACATTCAGGCACAAAACTAAGGCAACACTGACGGTCTTCATCTAGAAACACAACAGAAAAAACAAATAATTCAATATGAAACTCACTGATGAGTTTTCCAGTTGTTAAAATGTTCCCAGACATACGGAGCCCTCTGCTTCTGTAGCCGGTCTTCAGTCGCCTGTTACCTGTGCCACCCCAGGGGTATTTCACAAGTAAGACAGGGTTTCAGAGTCAAGTAAGCAGATGGGGAAGAGTACATGGCAGGAGAGGCTTTTCTCAGGCTTCCTTATGATATACTTCCAGAAACAGAATTATTTGATCAAAAGATATAAACATGTTAAGACACTTGATACAATCTGCCAAATTACTTTGCAAAAACTCTGCACAAATTTACATTCTGACCAGTTCATCACTATTCTCATTATTTAAAATTGTTAATAATTTGATGAGAGAGAAATTGTCATACTGATTTAGTTTGCATTCTTTAGTATTAATAAGGCTGAATATTTTTTTCAAATATTTGTATCCTTTGTGGATTTTCTACTCATGTTTATACTACCATTTATTTACTAACATTAGTGATCTTTTCTAATTGGTTTTCATGTACTCTTTATATATTAAAGATGGCATCCACATAATTTATTGTAAATATTTCCCTAGTCTAGTGTTTGCCATTGGATTCCTTCCTGTTTCTTGACATACCAAAGCCCTGGACCCATGAGCTGATACATCTTCCTCCACACCTGCTCCTGCTCCAACTCCAACTTCCCAGTGTTAGGAAACGTCAGCCCCACCTATCCAGCTGCTCAAGCCAGAAACCTGGAGCTCATCCTTCATTAGTTCACTTGTTCAACAGATATTTACAAAGCACCTACCAGGTGCCAACTGCTATTTTTACAAAATGAAGATACATTAGTAAATCAAAGAAATAAAATCCCTGGGACTTCCCTCGTGGTCCAGGGGTTAAGACTCCGTGTTCCCAATGCAGGGGGCACGAGTTCGACCCCTACTCAAGGAACTAAGATCTCGTATGCTGCACAGCACGGCCAAATAAATAAATAAATAAAAGAAAAATCCCTGCAAGGAGGGGCAAGATATCACTTCAAATAGGGTGGCCACTAGGAAGACCACCTGAGCCTCTGCTCCCTCCACCAGGCTCCCGAGCGCCAGTGCCCACTGTGACTCCCCGTCCATCTCTTTTGTCCTGATCCTGAATGTCTCTGAGTCTGTCCACTTCACTATCTGCCAGCTCTAAGCCACCACCATGTCCAACCTGTGCTCCACCATTTTCTCAGGACCCCTTCCCCTGCCTCCCCCAGTCCAGGCTTTCAAACACATCGGCACACTGCCCTGTTTTCAATCAGTTCCCAAAACCTTCAAGATTCACTGTGAACTGCTCCACACGCTATTCAAGCCTCATAAGCTCCAGATCCTGCCAAGCTCTTCACTCACATCAAGTCTCACCCTTGGTCTACCGGCATGACCTCTGGGTCTTCAAACACAGCCCCTCAGGGCTCCTTGCACGGCCTCACCAGCTCAGGATCTCTCGGGTTCAGACCTCCACTCCTCGGGGAGGCCTTCCCAGACCCTGTCAGGGCAGAGCCACCTGCTCAACGCCACCCCAGCATCCATGTCTTCCTCTTGGTGGAGCCAGGCCCATTCACGCTCCTCTGTGCACCTGCAACTCCTCAAAGGTCAGAGTTGACATGCAGGAGCAGACACCTGGCCCAGGCCTAGCTCAGTGACCATCTGCTGAGTGGGTGAATATAGGGATTTTCCTCTAATGTTTTCACTTGTTTCACACTTCACCCCCCCCCCTTTTTTTTTTTTTGGGGTTTTGGAGCAGCAAAGAAATAGGGGAGACCAGCTTCACCTGGTATTGTACTTGTTATGAGCAAGCTAGAAACACATTGTGTGTCATTTCCCTCAGTACCCAGGCTCTGCAGAGTCTTAAGTTTTTGGCGGTACGCGGGCCTCTCACTGTTGTGGCCTCTCCCGTTGCGCAGCACAGGCTCCGGACGCGCAGGCTCAGCGGCCATGGCTCACGGGCCCAGCCGCTCTGCGGCACGTGGGATCCTCCCGGACCGGGGCACAAATCCGTGTCCCCTGCATCGGCAGGCGGACTCTCAACCACTGTGCCACCAGGGAAGCCCACACTTCACCCTTTTAATCCAGCTGGATATTATTTTGGTATATGGTACCAGGTGAGGCTGAATTTTTTCTCAAAAAACTACCCAATGGTGCCAATTCCCCCTGTTAAATAATCTCCCCAAACTCACAGGTTTGTAGTGACTCTTCTAGCATATATTCCCACATAGACCAAATTCTATTTCTGGGTCACATACTTCACTGATTTAACTAATTTATCTTCACAACATTTCACAATGCTTGGGAGAGCCTGGTTTTCTTCTTCACAATATTTTTAAACTTTTACTTGGCTACATTTATATTCACCTATTTTTTCCAAATTAATTGTTATTCAATTTCTTAATCCCATGGAGATTTTGATTAAAGTTGTTTAATCAAACTGCATATTGATAACACTGAGTATTTTAAATTGTCTTCTTTGATCCAATAATTCCACATACGAGAATCTGTTATAGGAGGTACAAAATATAATAAGAGAGAACTTTCTACGTGTAAAGATTTTCTTCACAGCATTTCTTTTTTTTTTGCGGTACGCGGGCCTCTCACTGTTGTGGCCTCTCCCGTTGCGGAGCACAGGCTCCGGACGCGCAGGCCCAGCAGCCATGGCTCACGGGCCCAGCCGCTCTGCGGCATGTGGGATCTTCCCGGACCGGGGCACGAACCCGTGTCCCCTGCATCGGCAGGCGGACTCTCAACCACTGCGCCATGAGGGAAGCCCTTCTTCACAGCATTTCTTATCATGAAAAATAAGTGGGAGCAACCTAAATTTTAAGCAAATAAGGGAATGTTTAAGCACACCATTATATATTCTTAACAGAATGACACTTAGATTAAATTCTTAAAATGTTAAATGAATAGAAATGGATTCAAAATACAAAAAAATTTCATTAAACATATAAACTAAACTTGGCAAGACATGACATCCTTATGATATTCTATTTTTCCATACAGGAACACAGTGTGTTTCTCTGTTTATTCAAATTTTCTTTTTTCTTTAATATTTATTTAATTATTTGGCTGCGCTGGGTTGGATCTTTAGTTGCGGCATAAGGGATCTTTAGCTGTGGCACGTGGGATTTTCAGTTGCGGCAGGTGGGCTCTTAGCTGCAGCATGCGGGATCTAGTTCCCTGACCAGGGATCGAACCCAGGCCCCCTGCATTGGGAGTGTGGAGTCTTAACCACTGGACCACCAGGGAAGTCCCTCAAATTTTCTTTTAATTTTTCTCAGTAATGTTTAGTTAAACATTACTTCTTAGTTTACTTCTTTATGTTTAGTTAAACATTACTTCTTAGATGTTTAGTTAAACATCTTCGCCAAGTCCTGGTCATTTCTTTTAAGATTATTCCTGGATTGTTCATGACTATTTGGGGGCAATATGCTACTATACATGTATTTTGCCCATAGGAGTTTCTTACTGATAATTGCTGATATACCAGAATAATGTTTTGTGTTTTTTTTTTCATCCCCACCTTCCCAGGCTTTATCCACCAGAGGATGTCCTTTTCTTTAATCCAGAAACAGGAGATAAAAGCTGCGGCAGAATCTACACTCATTAGCTCTTCTGCAAGAATATAATTTGGGTAACAGTGACTTTTCTTTATAGAGATTCACCAATGGAATTGAAATTGTTTATTTTGCTTTGGAAACTTGTTTCCCCAGCCAAAGCGAGGTCCCTTTGAGGATTTTCTGACTCCCTAATCAGTTAACAATTTTGAATATTGTATTCTCTTACCAGTGGAGATCTTTGAAAACTAAGAGACAGAGAGCAGAAGGGACGGGAGAACTCCCACATGGACCTTGGGAAGTGACCTTTATTCTTCCCCCCCACTCCCCCAACCCAGGCATCCTATTTTTTTTTCCATATTTAATTTTTTTTTTACACAGCAGGTTCTTATTAGTTATCTATTTTATATATATTAGTGTATATATGTCAATCCCAATCTCCCATTTCAACCCACCACCACCAACCCCCCATCAGAATAATGTTTAAGTCACTTTACTAAATTCTTAATTAAACATAACTGCTTTTAGGCGACTCTCTCCAGGTTTTGTTAGTATACAAACATACTGTCTGTGACATGATGAGTCTATCTCATTCTTTCCAACAGATCATTCCTCTTTTTCTTTTTTAGGTCTTATGGCATTACACAGATCTTCCAAAATCATATTACTAATAATTACAAAATGATGATAGTGGTGATCTTTGCACTTGGTTTTAATAAAATTGTCATAACTATTTCATCATTGAGAATGATGATGGTTACTGATTTGATATAATCTTTATTACAGTAAGAAAATATTCCTCTGTTCAAACAGAATTTAAAGTTATATGGGGAAAAGAGGAAGTATTTTTGTCTCTTCTCTCCCAACACTTAAAAAAAGGATTTATTGAGACTTCCCTGGTGGTCCAGTGGTAAAGAATCCACCTTCCAGTGCAGGGACGTGGGTTCGATCCCTGGTTGGGGAACTAAGATCCCGCATGCTGCGGGGCAAGTAAGCCCGCCCGCCACAACTACTGAGCTTGTGCACCTCAACTAGAGAGCCCACGTGCCACAAACTACAGAGCCCACACGCCCTGGAAACCGCGTGCCCTAACTACAGAGCCCACACGCCCTGGAGCCCGCGCACCACAACTAGAGAGAAGCCCACGTGGTGCAACGAAGAGCCCACATACAACAACTAAGACCCGACAGCCAAAAATAAATAAATATTCTTAAAAAAAAAGAAACAAAAAGCATTTATTAATAATCATTTCACTCTTTAAAGGAACTGCAATCCTGCCTCCGAAGACATACTGAAGAGAGGAACAATATCTTCCCAGAGACATGCCAGAATCTTCTCATTATGAGTCATAAGAAACAAATGGTCCCTTGACCTAAGGAGAAAGGGCTGAAAAGTAATCAGAGAAT